AAATTCTGAGATAACATTTAAAAAAATCTACTAGAACTGCAAAAACTAACAAGTCTAAAAAATGTGTTGGCAAGGATATGCCTTTCAGGGTGACACTGTTTTACATGTCCATAGCCTTAAACCTAACATTAGAAATTTACTGTATAGAAATACCCCAACAGCATACGAAAAGCCCTATAAGATAATTTATGAAAGCTTTGTTTTTGCAACAGTAAAAAATTAGAGGCAACAAAGGAACAAGAAGCACTAAACATATTTCTAAGTTTAAAAAAACAAAGTTGCAAAATAGTGTAGAGTATGATTCCATTTTTGTTTTAAAAAATCCAAATAATATATGTTGGCTTATGCATGTAAAATTAAGATGCAAGAAATGTACCAAACCTTTAATAATTGTTACTTTTAAGGGATGAAATTATGAAAAATGTTCACTTTTGGTATAATGTATTTCTGTTAATCTCTTATTTAACAAGAATGACTTTTGTAAATGAAAGGAAAGCAGTGATTTATAAGTACAGATTCTGAGATGGCTTCTAATTCAACATTAACACTGAAAATACAAAAGTTCAGGAGTAGGAAGAATCTTTAAGGTTCAAGGTATTTTTTTAACGTACTTATCTTTTAGAGATCCTTACTGAAATAGAGATTAAATAACATAGTGTTTGCCTCGATTTGTGGATCAGTGTGTGGACAAAGACTGACCATGAGTTGCTAAGCAGATAAACTGGGTTACTGGTACATGGGGGCTAACTAAACCCATTTTTCCACTTTGGTGTGTATGTTTAAAAATTGCATTAAAATAATTTAAAAACAAAAACAACATGCCACCTGAATAATGCTACAGAATAATACTAACATATTCTCAAATAATGAAGCTAGCATACTTAAATATTTTGAAATGTTTATTAATAATCACCCTGCTCTTTTCTTAGTAATATTTTGCTTCTGGAATTTTATGGGATAGTATGTTATTTATGCATTAAAATAACATTTTGATAAAACAAAAACTTCAGTTGTAGAACATACAGTCTGTATGGAAATGTCAAATTTAGTAGAAAGCTCCTGGTAAAGTTATTCCTCTTACTAGGTATCAAAGGAGTAAGGTAATTTTTGTCACCACCAATTAAAAACTTTTACGAAATAGGACTGTTATAAAACAATTAAACCTTGCAAATGCACTAGTCTCCAGGAAGAAAGTCCTGGAGGAAATTCTGCTTATTAAAATTGCAATTTTAGTTTCCATTAAAAGGAGAATAAGACAACAGAAGATGGGTTGGCAAGACAAATTATTTCTTAATGTCAGTTGAGCTTATTTCAAATGAGATAACGTATCTACACCAGGTTGGGTACGGTACAATTTTGTCTCCTCAACTCATTTATCTAATTCAGTCATCTTGATTACAGCCTCATGGACTTCATTTTCAGAGAAAGAGTTCTGTAACAAACAGCCTACACAACATGCTGATTACTGAACAGTTAATTCTAATTAACTTGGGCATGGCAAGAGAATTTTGATAAAGTCCTAGAATACAAATATAGTCTGTTTATACTGGACTAACTTATATAAAAACCCACAGCATAGTCTCCAGACAAAACAAGACAGCCAAAAAGATCTAATTTAAAGAAACAAATGAGAAAATTAAAATCACAAATAATTTATTCTTCCGTTAGAGCTGATACAGTTTTAAATAGCAACAAAGTACACAGTGGTGGAAAATTGGCACAGAACCTATAAGCATTTCAATCACAATAAGGCTGTCCACGCTTTATCTGTCTAAACTTGATGTCCATTTTCTACTGACAAAGTCGAAAAAAAAAAACCTATTCTGACCTTGAAACACACACACACACACACACACACACACACACACACTCTCTCTCTCTCTCTCTCTCTCTCTCTCTCTCTCTCATACAGAGAGACACACTGAAATTCCTCCTTTTGATTATAGTATGTTCTGCTTGTTCAAATTTATGGCACCCCTTCTGTTTTGTTTCCAGTTAGAAGTGGGAAAAAGGAATTCAATTATAAAGAATTTATCTTATTCCCTGGGCATAGGCAACTGTGATGAAAATAGTAACTTACCTTTGGGCTAGATGTTTTCAGATTATGCTTAAATAACTGTGGTAAGAAAATTTTCAATGCATGCTTTCCTGCCCAATGCAATATCCCTGAATTTAGCTAAAATAATCAGGCACAGGACAACCTCAAATAATGATTAAACATGCTATGCTAACAAACAATGTGATCTAGAATGTAACCTCTGTGCTTTTATAACAGACAGAATAAACCTCATCAATAAGCATTTACCTAAACATCTGTGTGTTATATTAACCAATATAAAAAAAAGGATAAACATAAAAGTGTCCCTTTATAAATGGCATTATTTCCAGTTAAGAAAGTTGAAACAAAGGTTTGTAAAGTCTCCTGAACTATTTTGTTTATATAACCAATTATCCTTCTAATGTTAAAAAATAAAATTACTGGATCAATGTTGACTCTTCTTTGATACCATTTATAAAATGCTTTGATATTACTTACTAAGTTCCCTGATTATTCAAACAAGGTAAAATTAATACTTTCATTTTCAGTTATTGCTATTTTAAGAGAGGATTACCACTTCACTTATGTGAAACCGTTACCAAAGATTCTTCAGACCCAACATAAAGTAATTCTTATTGCCTCACATTTTAAAACGTATTATAAATGATCTTTATAAAAAGGTTTTAATCCACAAAACTGGAAGGCTTTTTAAAAATGTCTTTTTACTCAAAACTGTATCACAGTGCCCTTGATTATCTAATAGATAAAAGGGATTTGAATTTCCTCTATAAGAACAGAATAGTGGACATACGGTGTGCTTTGTCTTCTCTCACCTTTATCTTTATGGTACACCATTTTGAGACCAAAACAATCAAGCATCTACCATGCTCCCGTCCACATTAACAGAGGATTTCTGATTCTGTCCAGTGTGCACGCAGTGTACCGCCTTGCATATTCACATGAAATAAACATAATATACAAAATATTGTTGCTGTAAAAAGTGTACATTTCCCTCTTCCCCTTACAAAAAAATCTGTGGAAAAGTATTAAATTCCCTTAACCTTCATAAACATACAAAGCTGTTCACACCTTTCAGTCTGTAACAGTCCATTTGAAACATAGTTCTGAAATCATTGCAAATTGGTTATGTCATTGCATTTTCTGTCCAATGTTGCCATCTAGAGTAGAAATGTGAAATCAAGAGTATTTTTGAGCTACTAAAGCCTTTTACAACTAAACCACAAAGGCTGCTTATTGATGAAACAGCCACTTATCCACAAGGTTTTTCCAAAAACTAGACGGAATGGAAGGATCTCTTCACAGGGAGGTGTCCACAGTGCTGAGGTGACAATATGGCTGCTAATAGATATTGGCTATTGGAATGTAAGTACTTTTTCACTGCTGGTAATTTCCATACTGTCCCTAAAAGACAAATTAAAAATATAATTAGATAATAGTTTGACCATAATAGTTTGGCGCAGAAAATTACAAACAAATCATTTTAAACATTATCATACCACAAAAGTACCTGCACTTGTAACAAACAAAAATTTTTATACATTTAGGTAAAAAGTATCACTGTGTAATTTCTTCTGATATTATATCCAATTGCAAATGGATTTCATACTCCAAAACATGCTAGGGATTAGCAAGTGAGCCTAGAATAATAATATCTGTCACATAGTGGGAACTGAAATGTTTGGTGAATTTTGCTGAACTGAATTGAGTGATAAATTCTAGTTCTAAACTCTGATGTGGTATACATATGAGTACAAATAATATGCTAATGTGACAACTTTGTGAGTATTTAGCTTATTATAATTACTATTATGAATTAACATCAAGGGTACTTGAAATAAGTGGCAAGTGAAAATGTACAGGTAACTGGGAGATGAAAGGTAAAGACCCTTCTATCTACAATAAAAAATTTGAGCACTTTCCTAAGGTTAACAAAGTGTCTGCAAAGGTATTCAGATAGATAAAAGGATATAAAATCAAGGAAAATTTGTTTTGTTTCCATTGTTTTTAGTAAGTTAGACTTGTAGACCTATAGGCTGACAGGATGAGAGAGAAAAAGAGAATACAGATACAAAAGACATGATGAAGTAGCAAAACTCTATGAGGGAGGCATATAATGTCCAGTAGACATCTGTTAAGGTTAGCTTTTGGAGACGAAGAGAAGGAACTTCCTTTCCTTTAAAACAGAAGAAGAAAGGTAGAAAAAAAGAAGAATATAGAAAATGGACATTTCGTTAAAAATTTCTTAAATGGGTTTAAAATAGATTCATAAAAGTACCTATTTTTGAAAACCAGTATTCACTGGAAGCATATAATTAGTTAATTGTTTCCTTTAGCTAAATTTCCCCCTCCCAGTCATATTAATATGACTCGAAAAAATATTCTAGTTGAAATGCTTCTGTACCATAAGAAACAGTAGGCTAAGAATTTATATTTCCACAGAATTCGATGTAGTAATAATCTGTTGAATGTCACCACATACATAATGGAATAATGAATTAAATAGGGTGTTTTACATTAATATACTTTACACAGTTATAGTCAGCCAAATTTAAAGTCAATGCTCATCTTGAAGTATTTATGGGTAAAATGTATCACATCTAAGATTTGCTTTAAAATACTGTGAAAAGAAAAAAATAGTGTGGCTGGGTAGATAAAACAACATTGGCAAAATGTTGATAAACTGATGAAGCGGGGTGATGGATACACAGGTGTTCATTATACTATGCTCTCTTTTTTGTATTTATTTAAAGATTTCCAGTATAAAAAGTTTAAAATAAGAAAGAAAATTAATGCTTACATACTGCAGCTTACTATTCCATTGTAAGATTATCTAAATAATTATAGCTGAGTTTAAGTGCTTTTCTATTTGAGTCTTTTCTATTTTGAGTCTCTTTGAGACTCAGTTTATTTACCCATAAGGTGGGGGAGTAATATCTACATCTCTGTATTACAATTTCCCTTCTGTTAACGGCTACATTAATTCACACATTTGTTTGTTATGACACTTAAATAAGAGAGGACATGAGAGAGGCTTTTTAGAATTATAAATCGGTCAGTCTCAATGCTGGAGGGAAATGCTCCCCCAGTGAATGTATAAAATTAGATGCAAACAATGAAAGTGAGTTGCCAATATAAATGAAGTAAAAGCAGAAGAGAGGTTAAGAACCACTGTGCCACAGAAATACAAGCTATAATTTATCTACTATATTATGAACTACTTGAGCACAGGGACCAGGTCTTATCCAGCCTTATGCCCTAAGTATTAAAGAGTACCTGACACATAAGAAGACTTCTTCATTAATGCATATACGAAATAAATTACAGCCAAACAATTATAAATATTTATGGAACAAATGATGATCATCATAAATTTGAAAACCAAAGAAGACTCAGAAATAAAGTATAATTACAGAATAGAATGTAAGTTCTCTAAGATTTAGAAAGGAAAAGGTTAACACAGGCAAAAATAATTAGAAAAATAGTTCAGAAAACATTGAGAGCCTTGAGAAAATACTAAGATTTGAATAACAGAGAAAAAAGGGGACAATTCAAATAGAAAGAACAGCTAAAGCAAAGGCATGGAGGAAAAAATAAATATAGAATGCTTAGGGAAGTGGGAAGAAAGAAAGAATATACAATATGAGGAGTAGAAGTTAATAATTATTTTGTAAGACAGAGCTTGAAGTAACAGAATAAGCAGCTAATATTAACAATAGTTAATTCTTAATATATCTCAATAACTAAGACATTACCATGTATCAGACACTGATGAATGTTTTGTGCCCACCCATGTATAACTTATACAGTAAATATTATCTTCATTTTATAGATGAAGAAATTGAGGCAGAGTTTAAGTAACTTGACCCCACACTTGATCACACTGCTAGGACCAAACTACATCACAATCAAGCCTAAAAAAGTATACTGTGTATCTGCAACCATAAGCAAATTCCATGGTAGTATGAGGGGATAAAAGTTTGGGTTTTGAAGCCAGAAACCAATTTCTAGTACTAACTTCACCACTTAACAGTTTCTTGTCCTTGGACAAGTTGCCTTACCTCCCTTGAGTCTCAATTTTCTCATCTGACAAGTAAGGGTAATTATAATCCCTATCTCAAAAAGTTATTCAAGAAGAAAAACATGAAAATGCTTTGCAAACTACTCAAGAACTCATTAATACTATCAGTGGCAACGTAGTATAGTGAACGAAGCACAGGCTCTCATCACTCAGGACTTGTCACCTAGCTCCACCACTTCCTAGCTCTGTCATCTTTAGTAAATTATTCTAAAACTCTAAGCCTCAGCTTCTCTTTGCTTCTTCAATTTCTTTTAATTATAAAATTCCTCTGACTAGAGTGTAAAGAATTAATGGGAAAGAAACAAGAAGACAGTATGGAAGATCCTGCTATGATGAAGACAGGCGAAGACAATGGTCTGAACTAAGATAAGGCAGGAGGTTAGAAAGAAATGGATGGATTCCAAGAGCTTTTCAGGAAGGAGGAGCTACAAGATTTGTCATTTATTATAAGGGAGGGAAGGAAGAGAGGGGAGATAAATATAAAGTGGGTATTTGGCATTCTGGCTTGGTTCTAGTAACCCTCTGTTTTGATAAAGAATATAGAAAGGAGAAATAAGTTTGGGTAGAAAAAATTACGAATTCTTTTTTTTTATGTTGAATTAATATACCTATGATACATCTAAGTGGAGATGCCCAGTAGGCATCTGTTTTTCAGATGAGATTCAGATGAATTTCAGTGAGATTCAGACTAGACATAGAGATCTGGGAGTCAACAGCAAGGTAAACTGAAACCATATGAATCGATGAGATTGCCTAGGGAGAGGCAGAGTGTAGTGAATGAGAAAAGTTCCTAAGATAGAAACCTGAGCAATACCAACCATTTCTAAATTTCTTTCCTTCATTCCATTTATCTAATCAGTTAAAAGTCTTAACATTACTCCTTCACAATATATTTTTTAGAGGTTTCCTTCTCTCTCTATTTTTGTAATCGCCATTCAAATCCAGGAAGTAATTGCCTTATTTTTCATTTACTTATACTTCATTTATTCAACAATATTTACTAACAATGTGCTATGTTCTATTAGGTGATGGAGACTAAACAATAATAAAAACAAAGCGATGCCTTTAAAGAGCTTACATTCTAGGGGAAGTGGAGTATGACAATAAACAATAATTAAATAATCTGTCAAATGGAGATAAAGCATGAAAATTAAAGCATGTTTCTGGTCAAGATGAATTTACCCTGCTGCCTGCAACAACCAAAAAACTACACAAAACATATGAAGCCATCATATTCAGGACATAGGACAGAGCCAACAAAGGACAACATTCTCTGAGACGTGGAAAACAAATGAGGTGAGCCATCTGATTACCACAGCTTACTACCTTGAGAGTTACAAGGCTATACTACACTGAGGGAAACTGAGGCTGAGCCTGGCAGATACTCTGAATTAAAGAGATAAAGCTTAGAGTAGGAAGGGGGAAAGGCAGCTAGAATTAATAGGACAGAGTACCAGAAAAAAAAGATCTGCATAGAGAGAGAACTGTGGGGATCTCACGTATTCACTCCCCTCACATATTCAGCATAGTAATGATATGCAAATATGGATGAGGAAAATACTCAAGGCTGAGGAAAGAAACACACAAAAGGATTAGGGGAAACAATACTTGGTGGTATATGAACAGAATTATTGCTTACTCTCACCAGAGTGAAAAGCCTTATAATTTAAAGGGCATTAGGCAGAGTACTGAAAAACTCTTAACTTAATAGTGGAGAATATTTAGCTCAGGACTAAATGCTATTCTTAGTCCTGTCTAAAAAATCTTTTAAAAGCAATTCAAAAAGATCAAACTGTTTCTAATTTATTAAACTGCATCCCCAAACAAAGCTTAATAATATTCCTAGAAACACAAATATGTCCATCACCCAACAAAGTAAAATTCACAATGTCTGGAATCCAATCAAAGATTATCACACATACAAAGGAGAAAAACATGACCTAACAGGAGGAAAAAAAAAAAAAATCAATTGATCGAAACTGACCCCAAAATGACACAGATGTAAGAATTAGCAGAAAAGAAAATTAAAAGTTATATCTGTATTCCGTATGTTCACAAAATTTAAGAAGAGACATGGAGGATATAAAAGACCCAAACTAAACTTCTACAGATGGAAGTTACAACATCTGAAATGAAGTTCAACAAACCCCAAGCATAAGAAACATGAAAAAATCTATACCAAGGCATGCTGTAATCAAATTGCTCAAAACCATTTGAGCAAGGGAAAGTTTTTCTCAATTGAACAATCTGATAAAGGGAAATCTTAAAAGCAGCCAGAGAATAAACATACACTACCAATGAACAAAGATAAGAATGATAGCAA